TAAGGATCTGTATGAATTCTGGCGACATACCAAGTAGCCATTAGCTATGAGGAGTGTTTCCCGATGCTCATTTGTTTTCCATGTGTGAATTTTCACTCTTCCAAACTTTCTTTAGAAAAAAAAAGTATTTTTTCTTCATCAATTCCATGTGGAAAATACAACAAAAATCCAGATAATAAATTATTCAAGAAACACAACAGATTTTTTTTTTTTTAATAGAAAAATACCAGTTCTGGAATCAAACTGTCAGCTTGCTTTGATTTTGATATTTTAAGTTAAGTGTTATAAAATGATATGCTTGTTCACATGCTCAAGGATAGTCTTTCTGGGCAAATTATCCTAAATAGGGTAACTCAATAGCAAAGTAGGCAGGCTTTTAATGCTATTACTATTAGGAAAATACCATTAATATGAGACATATGCAAGATGCTATTACATCAGTAGGCTGCAGTTATTTAGTCAGTATGCAGGAACAGTCCTAGGATCAGAGCAGAGATGCTGGGCCTTTAACACATGTAGCTTGGCTTAGTCTCGAGGTCAAAATCTGTTAATGCAATTTTCTGTATAAGAACAAGAATTTAAAATCCATGTGGTTTTAATGACACATTCCAAGATTGGGGGGGTAGGAGGTGTTGATTTTGGGGTGGTTTTTTTTATTTGTCCTACTCACGTTAAAAGTGAACTTCTTTGAAATGTGTGTGTGTGTGACACTGAAACTAATCTGTGAAATAAGACAAACTTTAAAAAAAAAAAATCTCTTCCCATTTATTTGCTTGAAAAGTTTGATTTTGGTCAAGTTATGTTTCAAATTAAATAGATCATTATTGGTAATTTGCATTTACTTATTGAAGCATTACATAATAAACCAAAACCATGTGTCAAAATGTAACTCTCATAAAATAAGTGCACTGAGATAAAGGGGCTTCAGAGATTTAAAAAAATCAATGTGATGCTTAAATAAGACATCTAAAAAGGGTGCCTGCCTTTAAAAAGAGAGTGCTTCTATTTCAAATAATTAATATGTTTTGGTTTCTTCATTTTTGCGGTCTCGTAGCACAACTTATATATAAAGCACTATGTTGAACATGCATATTTTGGACTGAGCTCTTGTTTGTGTCTATTTAACAGCTACTCACAGCTGTCTCTGCTTTAAAAGTATTGGGATAAAATTTCCTCACAAGCTCCAGTCGATACAAAAAGCACTCACATTATTTTAAGTGGTCCTGGCTGGGGCTGGAGGTGCAGGCAGGGTGCAGGCACCACGGCTGAATTATCACACCTCAGATAGGTTTATCCCTCTAAACACATAGCCTGCAGATTATCTGATTAATGTGTAGATTTGTATTTCAAGATTGGCTGCTAACTTGACTGTGCAAAACACACCTGCCTCCCTGAAACGTTAGCAAAACTGCAATTTCGGTTTTTCTTGGTGTACTAAGAAGAAAGAGAAGGTGAGCGGTTGCTAACTGGGTCTGGGAAGCTTTTATCGGTGTGAAAAGGAAACACAGAGCAGGGGATGGCTTCGTGTTTTCACTTACTCAAAAAGTTAAGGAAATGTATTAAAGGAAGAATTCTCCTTTCCCAAGATCACAGTGTTTGACCCCTTTTGCCATTCAAAATTCACACTGTAAAAGCTTCTGATGGCACACCAGCATCACCCCCTCTTGAAGATGAAGCCCAAATGAGCCCAAACAAGCCCAAACGTAACAAGTAGAGCCACCAGGGGTGCTGCTCAGAAACAGAAGCAGTCTATTGCCATAACAAGCAAGGAAAAAAAGTCTATATTGAAAGCAAGAGGCAGAATACACTGACAACAAGGTGTAAGTCCCCTTTGATAAGCTCCAAGCATTGGCCACCACTCAACTCCACACCAGCACCTGAGCAGTCATTCACCAATCACTGTAGGAGACTGTATTTTTGATGTGACATACCTGCTAAAGAGCTCTGCTGACCATGTCTCCTTTTCACCTTTTTTTTCACGATCTCCAAGCACATTGTTCTCCTTTTTTGGTTTCTATTTATAAAAATCAAACAGAAAGATCTCATGTAATGGTTTGCTTCCTGTGCTCAGTCTCCTCCTGCCCACACAACATCACCGTTGAGATAATATCCCTCAAAACCATTTGTTGTTTATGTACCTTTGTCAAGCAGTGGTTTACATCATTTTTCACGCATTCGATTAATTAGCAGTATCTGAAATGAGATGTGTCACATGAAGCACAGTTTGCTGTGCCTGGCAGGGTGGTCAAGGTGTGCCCCTTGCCCGCACAGGCCCTCTGTATGCTGCAGAGCTACATACACTCTACACCAGTACATAAATGTATACTTTTATATATGTATGCTTATATATACATAGAGATCTCGACAGGCTGGATCGATGGGCCGAGACCAACGGGATGAGGTTCAACAAGGCCAAGTGCCAAGTCCTGCACTTCGGTCACAACAACCCCCTGCAGCGCTACAGGCTGGGGCAGAGTGGCTGGAGCTGCCTGGCAGAAAAGGCCCTGGGGGTGTTGGTGGCCTGTGGGCTGAACAGGAGCCAGCAGTGTGCCCAGGTGGCCAAGGTGGCCACCAGCATCCTGGCCTGTATCAGGAACAGCGTGGGGAGTAGGGCCTGAGAGGTGATTGTCCCCCTGTACTGGGCACTGGTGAGGCCTCACCTTGAGTACTGTGTCCAGTTTTGGGCCCCCTACCATAAAAAAGACATTGAGGTGCTGGAGTGGGTCCAGAGAAGGGCGACAAAGCTGGTGAGGGGTCTGGAGCACAAGTCTTATGAGGAGAGGCTGAGGGAGCTGGGGGTGTTCAGCCTGGAGAAGAGGAGGCTGAGGGGAGACCTTATTGCTCTCTACAACTCCCTGAAAGGAGGGTGTAGAGAGGTGGGGGTCGGTCTCTTTTCTCAAGTCACAGGCGACAGGACAAGAGGAAATGGCCTCAAGTTGCACCAGGGGAGGTTCAGGCTGGATATTAGGAAAAATTTTTTCACTGAAAGGGTTCTCAGCCCTTGGAATGGGCTGCCCAGGGAGGTGGTTGAGGCCCCATCCCTGGAGGTGTTCAAAAGACGGGTTGATGTAGTGCTGGGAGGTATGGTTTAGTGATGATGCTCCTTGTTTGTTGTGGGGGTGTCTATTTTTGTCAGTCAGGTTGATGGTTGGACAAGATGATCTTTAAGGTCCCTTCCAACCTAGAAGATTCTGTGATTCTGTGATAATGTCCATATAGCGCATACATATGGGGGTTGTGTATATGCAGTATATATATATATATTTTTACACATATCATACGTATACCAGTATATGCATAAATGCATGGATACACACAATTCACCACGCACACCTATATGTACACATACATATACATCATATCCCCACTCGAGCTGTTGTTTTGGTCCTGGTGCTGTTGTACCTCATTCTACTTAACCCTGTGATGAGGGCACAGTCTTCCATGGGCTTAGGTGTGTGTTTTGAGAGGGGTTTTTTGTATTTTATTTTTTTAAGCTGCCTGTTCCTGGAGACTACCCCTTGAGCCTTACACCTGACAAAGGCCTCTGAGCTTTACTGGGATTCAAAAGGTACACTCATAATATTTACAATTAGCGTGGCTAAGGATATTTTTGATGCTTTTAACACGAACAGCTCTCATTTCATTGACTGTAGCTGCAGAATACTTTTACAAAATTTTAATTGTAAAACTAGCAATTATGATATTGACTTAAATTCTTATGTGCTAACTTACAATTTTACCATGCCTTAATGACAACAGCAACAAAGAAAGCCATGCAGAAGAAATCACAGTGAATTGCTCCGCAGCACAGACGACTTCTGCTCTTTCAAGAGGGGAGCTGGTGCTGGGAGAGGCAGACTCATTCCCAGCAGGCAGAGCTTTTATACAAAGAAAATAAAACTCTTTTTTTTTTTTTTTTTTTTTTTTTAACAACTGCTCCTTTTCACTTTCTCAGTGAACTCCATGTCTCTGTTTTATGGTGCAGCAGGCCTGGCTTTGCAAAGTTTCATTCTTCTGGTTTGCAATACCAGAACCATACTACTATCTGTGTGAATAAGGCATTTTCTCCAAGAACATGCCTAATGGTTAGAGTCAGTCTACCAGATGGGTTGTAAAACACTTTGAAACAACTCCACTCAAAGGATATTATACTCCTGAAGCTGTATGTTTGTTTTATTATAAACAGAGCTTTCGAAGTAAAAAACATAGAAACGCTGTCTACTTCTGAAGCAAACTGACATGTGGAGCCGTGCTAGATCTCTGCTGAAACAGAACGTAATTTATCGCTCCCCCTAAATATCAAAGGGGCTTGAGGAGGAGCCATATCACTTTCCGTCTTTTTAACTGAAAGACATTGTGGGTGACTGAAAAGCCCACGTAGTTTTAATTTATCGTCTGATTGATAGGTCTCCCTCCTGCCAGCTGATTTCAGGCCTTGCTGGTCTCTAGCTCCTGCAGTCTCAGCAGCAGCCCCGTGGGTGTGAGGAGCACACTGGTAGCTGATTTTTCTCTTCTAATCTCAGCAGAGAGGGCCCTGCGGTGAGAGCTCAGCTGGAGGCAGAGCATCTGGCTGAAGAAGGGCTCCTGCAGGGACCTCCTGACAGGGGACAGGGCCAGAGACACGGCAGCTCCCACGTGCTCACCCACACAAGGACTTTCTGCTGACACCACCAACAGACACCGTGTTGAGCCCATTTCAGACCGCAGCCATATCCATTCGTGACACTCTGGAATTATAAAATGGTCCTTTGTACAATTTGATGACCCAAGGCCAAGCAGGCTGCTTGACTCTGTCAGACCAGTAGGTCTAAGAGTTCTCTCAAGAAGCTGGGAGAGAAGCCAACACGTTTCTGCGCCACAGAAGTACCATCAACCCTTTGGTGGGGATGGAGCTCGTGGCATTGTTGGCCTCCTCCTCTTCTAGGGTGTGATTTTCCAGCCTGAAGTCAGTAATAAAAGTTACTCCCAACAACTCACACTTGATCTGACTTCCAAAATGTGCCATGCATATGAAAGACAGCTGCTCAGAAGAATCCAGAGGAGAGACGGGAAGAGAAGCACGGACTCCAAAACAGCCACCATCTACAGTCACCATTTTATTCCTTCAAAACCTGAGAAACTGGAATTGTCCCTGTAAAACACAATTAGCATCCGCATTATGACTTGTCAAACACCACCCGTAAGAGAAAAGCTAAGCAGATTTTTTAATCTGAATTTGTACAGGCTTTTCTGTCGTTCCGTAAGCAGCTTCTTTATTATTTTTTCCCATAATTTGTATAAAGTACTTAGCATTCAAAACAGATCCTTTTTAACCTTTTGCCCAACTTAGCTTTTTGTACTTTAAAAAAAAAAAAAGGGGGGAGCAGGGGGAGAGATGGAAAGGGAGAGAAACCCTTTAAGTACCCTGGGCCTGGGTTCCTTCAGTATGCAGGCTGTAAATGTTTTACTTTGATTTGAGATACATGACAATAAATTAGGGGACATTTATCAAAGCTGCTTTGTTGCATTGCTGACAAAAGCTGCTTTTTGCATAAATTACTGCATTATACAAATACACTTAGCAGGATCCTGTTTCTTTGATGTTAGTGGAGGAGATTTATGTCCAATGGAGTTTTTATTTATCTGCCCTGTTCACCTCAACAAGGGCAGGACATATTCCTCAATTAGTTCCATACCCCTAGAAATGACATATATATCTCACAACTAGAAGCAGAGAAATTTAAACAAAACAAAACAAAAAATCAAGTGCACTTTTTTTCTGGCAAGTCTAAACTACTGTACGGTGTAAAAAGTAAATATTAGGCTGGAACTGCAGCTTTGAAATCTTTGTTCTCAGACTGCTTTGAAAACTATTTAAGAAAGCTAATTTTGACAAAACAATATTCCCTTTGCAGAAAAGCTTTTGTAGACTTCATTAAGAGACTAAGTAAATAGGAGTCCATTTCAACAAATACTCGATAGCCGAATAAGTAGGTTAAAAGAATAGATTCCCTGGGCGGTAATCCTCTCTGGAACAGTATTTATGCTAAAATCTCTTTCGATGAATATCTAATAAACTAATGAAGGCCATCTTAGGCTAAATGGTGAATTAGGATGGTTAAAAAGGAACTTGTCAAATGAATAAATTGGCTAAACAGTTACATTACTTAAATGAATACAGAATCTCTTGAAAACCATTTCTGAGCACTATTCTTCTGTCACTCACCATCTCCATACCTCAGCCTACACGTAATTTATTTTGCTCCTAGGTCAGCGGTTCAAACGCAGCCCTACGTGGCAACTCGGAGCTGTTGCTACACAATGGCCTGAAATCATTCCTGGAGAACTATTTTGCTGTCCTGAATCTAAAAAGAAAAAGAAACAAAAAGCAGAAATTGACCATTGCCTTCCCCTTAATATAAATATAGAGTGATGTTTGTCAAGTCTTTGGTGTGTTTTTTAATCAACACCAGCCTATCAAGAGCAAGACCACGCAGAGGAGATGGTCTGTGTTGGAGACTACTGGTTAAAGCCCAAAAGTTGTCAGGACCCGTGTTAACTTTCGAGTTATGCCAATGGAATGAAAGATTTGATATTGAGAGGCCTGAATCGGCTCAAGCAGATGGTTTGGAGCATTGTCCTCCCCACCCTCAGGTAGTCTTTCTCCAAAACTGGAGAGGAGTCCCTACATCCCTGGAGCACTCTGCTGAAGCTAAAAGGCCTGTAATTGGTTCCTCTCATATTTCACACTTTCTTTACTGGCCCTTGCCTGGCACTTTTTTACATCAAAAATATTTCTATCGGAACGACTTTGAGCTTTTGTTCATTCATGTTTATGAAGTTACTGAAGGTTTTTGACTTATAATAAAAAAGTTCTTTTTCTAAAATAGTTATAAAATTTCATTAGTAAACTCTTGTTTTGTTTGAAGAAAAAGATGTTCTTACATGTTAATAATTTTGTTTTTAATCAGATCACACCCTTTTTCAAGAATTCTGAAAAAGCTCTCTCTCCTTTCCCCTTCATCCACCCCTAAGGAAAAAAAAAAAAAAAAAAAAAAGATCAAGGCCCTTGCAGGACTTCTCACATCAGGAAGACTGAATCTGCAGCAGCACAAAGGTCAGAATAACACAGCTTCTCCTCGTTTCATCATTTTACCCCCACCCCCCCCAAAAAAAAAAAAAAAAAAAAAAGAGAGCGAGATCCTTTGAACATTTAATGAAGATAGGAAAACAATAAAATTATACAAAAATAGATTTTCATTATTCAGGCGGCTCTGGGGAACAGATTCCACACAGTGCATTTCAATGATCCCAGACAATGGATTACTATCATAATTTGTTCTTAAAGTCTGTTTAATTGGCTTACTTAGCCACCTGTTCAGAATAGTTACCATGAAAACCGTGGGTTTGCTGAATTTCTGAGTGCCAGCCTTTCATCTTTCATCCTGCCTCCTTCTCCCACTCTGGCCGTTATAAAGTATGGAGCAATGCCTAGCACAGATTTAAAAACAATCTCATAGCCATATAACCTATATTTTAACTAATCAGGAAAGTGACAGCAAAGTTATGACAATAACATGCAGGGCACGTTAATAAAAAATAACCAGGGCATTTACTCACTGTAAGCTCTGTCTGTTCCTGGGTAAGTGTCAATTTATTGCATCCCACCACACGTACAAGAATGGGGGGAAAATGTAAAGAACGATTACACATGTTTAATGTAGAAACACACTGGGCACCCCTCTAGCTGAATTATATGAGGCAATTTTACATTGAGAAGTTCCATAAAAAGCACTAAAATTGGGAGAGGTGATTCAGCCAATAACTTTGAAAATTTTGTCTGTCCCTTCAAAAAAAAAAAAAAAAGAAAAAGCAAGTGGAGTTAAAGCCATGAACTTCCATTTAGCGCCACTTACCACATTAAAAAAAAAAAAGCACTGGGGCACCCTTTGTTGCCTGCCGTGAGTCAGATTGCTTTCCCCCAAGAGCGACGTAAAGTATTTTTGCAGGACAGTGGATTCTGAGAAACGGAGGGGTTCAGCAGTGGAGCGTAATTAGCACTCTCTAAAACTGGAGCTACAATGTAAACAGCTCGAGTCTTCATTGCACAAAGCAAACAAACAATCCCAGCTGAGAATTCCCTGGCAGGGCTCGAGCAAATACGGCCCTCGCTGCTGACTGCTGTTATTGCTATGGTTGCTTAATCTAAACAGACAGCAGCATGTAAAAATGTAAATATTTGATATTTGTTAATACAGTCCTAAGTTATTGCTCTAGCCGGCTGTTTGGGTTTTCATGCATAGGGACGCTCTATGTGCAACCCGCTCTACGTAGGCTTCAGTAGAGGGGTATTTTTAAGAAGCCATTATCTAAACTGCTGATGTAATAAGGCACCGGTATATGAAATACACTTAATAACTCAACTTTAGTTATTTATTGTGAACGAGGGTGCATTCTCCTTGATTCCATTTCCCAGCGAAATATAAGTGGAGCTTTCATCATGAGTGCTTGAATTTATGGCAAGCAGACCAAGTGGCATTAAGAAAGCCACACAATCCCTTCATTCAGGCTTTAATAAGGAAGCCAAGGAAAAATTATCCAAGCTGGTTTGCGGGTGACAGCACAAGAACTTTTTGGAGTCAGAAAGTTAGCACGGAGGCTCCCTGTCAGCCCATTAAAAAGCAAGGTTGGCATTCCCAGATATTGGAACCATGTGTGCGGAGGAATTTTTCTTCTGGTAAGACATTCCAAATATTGTCCCAGAGCCAAACACTTCGGTGTTAGACTAATTTAAGCAGTATGTTGGAATCAGCTCTCAGGACTTTGATCATATGGAGATCGTTTGTTACAAATTGAACTAACCCAGTCTCTATTTCTGGTGGATCAGAACTATGGATTTGTTGAATTAAATGCCTCATTTAATGCAGTTTGCACATGAAAAGAAAGCTGCACTCAGGAATCTGATAGTGAATTTTTCACCTAACCAACAGGTCTACTTTTTTATTACTTTTAAACCTAATCCATACTCAGTCCACACTGTTCTTAATAAGCCTGAGGCTGTTTGGAGTGAAGGTTTAAATCAGCTCGTATGTTATGGGGGGAAAGCATCACTGAATTATCAAACCGTGTAATAAGGAACACATTTGAATCCAATTCAAGAAATAATTTTATGAAGAAAAATAAATTAGTCCTCAGTTGTTATTTACCATCCAAATAGCGCAGGGCTCTTTCATGACAGCAGTGGAGGGAAAGCTGAAAAATGATTTTGCAGACATATGATTTTCTCCCTGCCTCTTGTTGCTGTCCCCATTTTTGCAGCTGAACTATTGTGAGGGTTAAAAGTGCACAAAATAAAGCATTTCCACATATGGCTGCACTTTCTTTTCATTTCTTGAAGTTATAATGTCTTTAACTGTTGATAATGATATTATAAACTGTCATTTAGTGCATTCTGAGTATATTAAACACATGAAACAAAGATGTGTAGTTCCAGCTGGACCCTGATCAGAAACACTGAGATCTGATTCACCAAAACTGCAGATAGTGACGTGCAGGGCTTGTGAGGAGCAGCGTGGAACAGGTAGTAGTTGCAATAGTAATACAATAAAATAATAGAATAAAATTAAAGAACCTGGCATCGATTATTCCTCCAGGAGTGGGACAAATCTGAAATAGGAGCACCCAAATGATAGCGAGTAGGGGAGTCGCTGGCATGCTGCTACACAGTGGACTGATACAGGGCTCGAGTGTATCACAACTCCCTGCCTTGGGGAACTCAGGATTTACACTGTTTTCAACACATTTTCATCTGGAGTCTCGCACAAAATAAAAATGGGAATGCCAGCAATTCCCAGGAATCCTTCCTCTCGGTCCCGCGGGAATCTACACAGCAGAGCTTATTTTGAAAGAAATGGGAATGCTGGTTTCTGCCCAGAAGGGGCAAAAAGAATGTCTCCAAATTCACTGCTTTGAAAGGACCCCTCTAGCCAAACTGTAAACCTCTGATATATGGATATAATTTTTGAAGACATGTCTTACCATTTGGCTGGTTTAGCAAAGAGATAATATGCCTTTGTATATTGTAAAGCCTCAGCTCTTTGGTGCCATTACAGGCATATCTGGCCACTGCCTCTGGAAAAAGAATGAAATTGAAGAGTTAAAAGGAAAAAATAATTAAAAATCCCTGTCCAGATACAAGTCCTGAGCAAGAACCTTCCTTCCAAATAATCAAGACCTTTATTGGGTCTTACAGTCAGGAACAGAAAATAGTAACATGCGAATAACATGGAAATACCCCAAGCTTGACCAAGGCAAGCTGATGTGGATCATAGTGTTTTACATGCGAATAACATGGAAATACCCCAAGCTGATGTGGATCATGGTGTTTCCACTGCAGTAACACAAGTGATGCTTGTGAAATGGCCACAATTGATGCAGAAAACAAGTGAGATGAGGGAAGCAAGAAGACAGTGTGTCCTGCACTCCAAATCCCAGCCTGGGGGGAGTAGGAAGGATCTCCCATGAATTGCTCCTTCTAGCTCTCATTGCATGCACAAAGCAGAGTTCATCCTTCAGAAAGAAAAGGGAAAATGTTCCTTTAAAAAAAAAAAAAAACACACCAGCTATATGGCTGATTTATACACACACACACACACATATATATATTTTATTGGCAAATAAAGAAAGATCAGATCTTTAATGAAATCAGGATGGGTTTGGGAGGTGAACTTGAGCTGAACTCCCCAGATTTTCATGGAACTTCAATTAAAAGAGTTTCAGAGGAGTTGCTGAAAGCCAAGCACTTGCCATTGAAAGCTTAATTTAAAATGAGAAGCATTTTTACACCACATTTCCCAGTGAAATTCCAGCCCTGATCCTAATTATGTATTTTTTTCCTTGAATCATAAGTTTTTTTCTTTTTGAGATAAGCCATGTAGCAATGTGCATAAGTTTTATCCCCGGGTGTTATGACCAGTGCACACGTAGTGGCCACACTGACAGAGATGCCCATCATTATTGTGCAGAAAATGAACCTACCCTCTCCATTCTAAAATAGTCTAAAACATTCAGCACTTGTTATCATGTGCAACACATAAGGATTTAGATGTCTGATAAAAGCCATGACTAGCAAAAAATGTGGGTTTGGGGAAAAGAGTGAAATCTGGCTTCAGAAAAAAAAAAAAAAAAACCAAAACAGAACAAAATAATTAAAAATAAAGATGCTGGCTTAATTTCTGCCTACCAGCCTATTCTCATGCAATCCTAGGAAGAGAAGGTTAATACAAAGCCTCACTGTAGAGCCCTTTTGAATACCAGTGGAGTCATGCAACTCAATCCTTGAGCATTGCTTTGAAAATGTATCCCTTGCTTGATCAGATGCACTAAATTCACTCAGATTCAATCTGAGCTTCAGCTTCTGGGCATGGAAAGGGGACACTAACAGTGTTTGAAGATTGACTGAAACTGGACAGTGGACCCTAGAGTATCAATGGCCCAAAAGCACTAAGGGAAATGATCTTGTTTTAACCAGGTACCAGGAAAAAAATTACTTCAGAAACCATTTAAATAAATAATACTTTACCGTATAATGAAACATCATGGAATAGAAATTATTTTGAAACTATTTAGGGGGATGCCTGAAATAACAAAATCCAGCACTGTGTCAGGGACACGGTTACCACCACAAGCTTTGTGTGCTGTGGGGCTGACCCTCTCCCTCTGCCCAAGTTATCTGCAGTGCAATTGAATAATAAGAGATCCACAAACTACAGCTGAGCTCTCGGTGCTGCCAGGTAAAGAGTAAGCCCTGTAGTTTCATGGTTTTACATGCAAATGGCAACAATAAATAGACTGAAAGGTCTTGTTCCAATTAAAACATTAATTTTTTTTTTTTAATTTCTTCCAGTTTTCATTTTACTCTGATCATTTCTTCTGCCCTCACTGTAAACCAAAAACTTTTAACTTACTTAAGAAAAGGTAAAAAAAAATTGTCTTCAAAGGCTCCCCAGTTGCCTTCCTGGATCCTTTGTGAGGAGCCTCAAGAGGAGGTCTTCCTTTTGGGAGATGAGCCATATCCTAGTACCTCTCTGACCTCATTGCATTCAACAGCTGTGGGGAGCAAACTCCAGAACTGTGCATTTTTGTAATCCAGGAGATGAACTGAAAGTTCAGACTGCCAGCCAGGGATGCTAGTAAACTTACTCTGCTGGATTGTCTCTTACAGGGCTGAAATATGGTCTTAAAATTGCCTGAACACTCAGAATACTCCACCTTCTCATTGTTCATCCCCTGTGAGATCCTCCTCATTTATTCTACAGGGGTGGATCCTGCCCTGTTGAAATTTCACAGTGTGAGAGCACCAGGGGGCAGGCAGCCATTGGCAGGCCAGCATGGTCTGACTTGATTGGTGATTAATGAGAAGCTCCTACCAGAGCCTAGGACTCAAAGGTGGCCTGTTAATGTTCATAGCCATTTGCGCGTGACCAGAAATCCAGCAGGTCAAACGTGATGAGGGCCTGGAGAGAGGTATGGCTGTGGCTTTGGTGGGTTGACCAAAGCACTTGGTTTATGCTGGGTGGATGTCTACGTATGGAGCACGGCCAGACAGCATCTGATCTCACAGACAGACTGCCCAACCACAATTTTTATACCTGCAGAGTACTGCTCCACCACCCTCACAGTGAAGAACCCTCTCCTAATCTCCAATCTAAATCTGTTCCCCTCCAGGTTAAAGCCATTGCCCCTCATCCTGTCACTGCAGGCCTTTCTAAACAGGTTCTCCCCAGCCTTCATGTAAGCCCCCTTCAGGTACTGGAAGGCTGCTATTAGGTCTCCCCGGAGCCTCCTCTTCTCCAGGCTGAACAACCCCAGCTCCCTCAGCCTGTCCTCGTAGCAGAGGTGCTCCATCCCCCTGATCATTTTAGTGGCCCTCCTCTGGACCTTCTCCATCAGGTCCATGTCCTTCTTATATTGAGGGCTCCAGACCTGCACACAATACTCCAGGTGAGGTCTCACCAGAGCAGAGCAAAGTGGCAGAATCCCCTCTCTGGACCTGCTGGCAACGCTTATTTTGATGCAGCCCAGGATGCGATTGGCCTTCAGATCTCCATACAGTGTGTTGGTGAGATATTGGGTTGGTACCAGAGGTCCCACCACTGGGATTGACACACCATTGAACCATGTACTTGGACAAGCGTTTAATACAGAAACAGATAACCTGGTAGGAGTTGGAGGAAACAGCTTGAGAGCTGGTGCCTCCCCCTCGGTCTGCTGCACAGACCCGAGCTGACACCAGTTAAAGAAGGCTGCTCCCAAGATGTCCAGGATTTGGCAGATAACGAGAACCTTTCAATTGATGTTTTCAGCCCGCTCCAATGCAGCGAGGGGAAAATCAAAGCGAATTTTTCTCTCTGCTCACACCTTCCATTTGCACAGTTCGCTCTTTTATGAAGAGACTGAAGCTATTTAAAATGCCAGATCCATTAAATCCTTTGTTTTCTCTAAATAGGAAAGAAAATGGTCGCTCACAGTTTTATGGGAAGCCATCAGTCTCTCCCAAAGCGACTTACTGTACTGAAAAAAATAACCATTGCTGTGTATGTAAAGCAGAGCAGAAAGGCTGCAGTCATGGGCAAAGCACTGCTTTCTTTAGCAGTAGCAACATATTAAAGACAAATGTAGTCCACTGAAAGTGACATAAATAAGTGGATTTTCCATCTGAAACATTGTTTTTAGCAAGAGAAGCTTTTAATCCCCTTAAGTTCATTTCTAATCTGTCTTGGAAGTGCTTGTCTAAAGAATATTACATTGATATAAAGGATTTAATTTATTAAAACTAAACAGCAGCCAGCATACTACTAAAGAATATCTTGTACACAGTACTCTCCCAAATGAATAAAGCTGCTACAGGTAGAAAAAAAAAAAAAAGCACAAACACTTGGCACAGCATTCATTAAAAATTCACACATTATGTTCCTGCGCTCTCCTGCTCGCTCTGCTTTTCCCAATAAAGCAAACACTTTAGAATTCATAATACCTCTTTATCCCATGTGCACAAGTGACCTCCTCTCCTTTATGCACCTAGCAAATGAACAAGTACAAAAGGGAATAGAGTAAGCAGAAAACTAAACATGCCCTCTCCTACCCAAGAGCATAAAGAGAGGGCAAGCAGAGGTTCTCTGAAGGGTTTAGAGCTGCCTCTACCAAGATGCCAGTGCTCTCGTTACCCATCAGTTTTGGCCCATGCACACTGCGTAGACAGCATCAATTATACAGTTCGTCAGTCAATTAATTTTAAGGGATCTTTCTTAAAATAGCAGTTGAAGGAAACAAAAGCTGCCTTCAAACTACATTTAAATCACTCGTTAGCCACAAATTTGGCAGACTTAGCTAATAAGCAGCAAGAAGCCAACCACCAAATGACAAAATGGCCCTCTTGACCCTTCTTGAGGAAACGACGATTTGTCCATGTTTCTAGCAGTCCACATGGAGACACCTTGAGACATCTCCCTGGCTTCTCCGTGAGTGCTTTCAGTATGTAAGGTGGGGTCCAAACACAGTAGTTTAAAAACAAGGCCCCAGAGATCTTTTAATCCTACACCCCAACCATGGAAAAGACTTGCAGAAATTTGGTGAAAATGAGTAACCAACTGTCTTAAGGGAAGATTTAGTCCACTGGGAATAACCTACACGTTCAAAAATGTACTGTTATGTATAAGGCCTCTTTCCTGAACCGTGCAGTTCAATACAGTATAGATTTTCAGGCTTTTTTTCCTGTGTCTTGCCAAAAGAGACATTATTTATGGAGAGAATTCTGCTCTGCCATGGCACAGTGTATGCCTTGTGACTCATCTTACATTACACCCATTGATTTCTGCTGCAGTCACAACGGAAACTCACTGTTGCAAATGAGATCAGTATTTGGTCGCATATCGTTATCGCGCTGGATCTCAGATGAAATTATACATGACATAGTTTCCGTTCATTTCAATAATGGCCAGCAGCCACGCTGCCTCCGTTTCAAGCCCACATACCTTAAGTCAAATAGGGTCAAGATTGGTCAGCGCTGGAACCTCTCCAAAGAAAATCACGAGGCAGGCGGAGGTATTACTCAGGGAT